ATTAAGAGAGGAGTCCTCTCTAGGTGCTTAGTTTAATTTTACATCATATTGTAGAGGGTGGAGTAGACTAACCTTAGTAGGTAGGTTGACTCTAAACCCACCTTAGGATTGGAGGTAAGGTATATGCCCCCCTTCTTTTACTTTTGTTTTTTATATATGATAAGGCTTGGGGGTGATGCTTAGCCCCTGACCCACCTCAAGGGTCGTTATTTTTTTTAAAATAAATTTTTTTCAAAAAATAAAATAAAATGTAAAAACCTTAAAACCTATACCCTAGACCCTTAACCCTAAAGTCTAAACCCTAAATTCCTTAAGCCTAAACCCCAAACCTTAAACCATAAAACCTAAACCCTAAACCCTTAACCCAAACCCTAAACTGTAAACCTTAAACCCTAAACCCTAACACTAATCACTAAACCCTAACCCTAAACTCTAATCCCTAAAGAGTAAACGGTAAACCGTAAACCCTAAACCCTAACCTCTAAACTCTAACCCTTAAACCCTAAACCCATAAACCCTAAACCCTAAACCCTAAACTCTAAACCCTATACTTCTTAACCATAAACCCTAAACCTTAAACCTTAAAACCTAAACCCTAAAACCAAAATCCTAAACCCATAACCTAGACTCTAAACCCTAAACCTTGACCCTAATCATAAAACCCTAATCCTAAACCATAAACCCTAAACCCTAAATCCTAAACCCTAAACACTAACCCTTTAAGACTATACCCTAAACCCTAAATCCTAAACCCTAAACCTAAACACTAAACCTTAACCCAAAACCCTAAACACTAAACATTGAACCTTAAACCCTAAACCCTAAACTCTAATCCATAAACCTTAAACCCTTAACCCTTAACCCTTAATCCTTAGCCCTAAACCCTAAATACTAAACCCTAAACCCTAAACCCTAAACCCTAAATACTAAACCCTAAACCCCATCACTTCACCATTTCCTAATTTTTTTCTCTCACTAATTTCCCTCTCTACGGAACTCTCTCTAATTTTACACAGCAATTACAGCTCCAACGGCTAGTTCACCAGCCAGAATGGCGCGTGAGCTGCCGGTGGGACTCTTCAGGCTGCCGGACCAAGGCCATCAAGAGCGCCCTGAGCAGACGAACAAAACCCACCAAGAAGCATCATCATCTAATTCATCCTACAACTCCTCAAATTCGCGAAATACAGAGGTGATGAATATCGCGATTTCTGAGAAGGAGATGGACGGGATTCAACAAATTATTTCCTCAAATTGCGATACATTGATTCATCGAAAGCTGTTTAGTGGGAATGATTCTACTAATAAAGGGATACAACATACTAAAAAATCACGTGATTCCACCTTGCCAAATGAGAGATCTAAGGAGGTGAATTCTGGGCAAATCACCGGTGAGTCGCCTGAAATACGCCTTCTGATTCGACCAGCTTACCAGCAGCTTCACGGCGATTTGACCACTTGGGAATACTCACCTGGTAAAGAGCTACATCCCATTTCAAGCCCGAGTAAAATGGCCGGCCCAATCACCAACGACAAGGCTTTCAATGAACAAGCAGCCAAAAAATCACAATGTGGAAGCGGCGCTGCTAGGGACGACTATTCAATGGAAGAGGAGGTCCATCTTACTAACATATCCATTAATACACCTTAAGAACACAATCAAAAGGGAATCCAGGCAAGCTTAATTGATTCTACTACTAAGCACCAAGCTAAGCTTAAGGAACTTAGTCGCAGAATTGAACCAAAGCAGCTGGGGAAAAACTCACAAGATTATGCAGGTCCTAATGGTCAAAATCAAGACCAGCACCCAACGAAGGAACAAAGAATGGAGTTCAACTCCAAGCAAGGAGATACACGAATAATCCATGACCAAAAGGACCAACAAGATCAAACAAAGCCTACAACTTTGGAAGTGATTGAAGTGGAGAGCTCATCACACTTCTCCTTTGGACTTAAACCAACGGATATAATTTCAAACAATGGAGAACAGCAAGGAACAGGTAAGGTTATTAATTATGCTAATGAACTTGATCTTGTCCAAATGCAGGGGCAGTAGGCAATCAACACCAACTCAAAGAGTCAAGAGCTGATTGTTGAGGACAATCAAACAGGTAAGGCTGCTCAATCTAATTCTAATAGGAAGGTTGTTAGCCTGGATAGTAATGAGGACCAGGCTAATGCTAATACAAAAAGGCAAAAAAAGGGTATGTTGAACGATTAGGTACAAGGCAGGGGAGACATTGAACCCCAACAAGCAGGCTGATCGGAACCAAAATAGTGGGAAGAATGAAAGTCAATCCCAGCTACCTGATGACGGAGGGAATGCTGAATCCAATAAGTATCACAAGGACTTCCCTAAGATCTTCTCCAATTTTGATAGACATACCACCTCCAATCAGAAAAACCAACAAACAACTCATCCCAATCAACCCAAAGGCCCTACCAACCTCAATGAGATCCTAAACACCAAACATGATCTAAATGTTGAACCTGCTCCCTATACTGTGGTACAAACACTAGCTGCTAGACTGAGGCAAATTCATGCTACTCATGCCACCTCGATTGAACTGAACCCTCCCAGACACACTATTAAACAGGGCCAGCCTGCTGTCATTTATGATATGGATGACTTCTTGAACAAACTGACAGTGGACTGTAAGTACACTCTTATAGGTAAATTCAGTACCACCATGCCTAAAATTGAGCTCATCCGAAAAAGTTTCATCCTACAAACTTAGCTGAATGGGGGGGGGGGTCAATATTGTTCATTATAATCCTAGGCATGTATTTATTGATTTGGTGAATGAATTGGACTATAACACTATATGGACACAACAACGAATGACCATTGAAGGGAAACTGATGAGAATGCAGGCTTGGACTCCCAATTTTAAGCCTGAAGAAGAAACATCCATTGTTCCTATATGGGTACTATTACCAGGATTACCATGGCATTGCTTCAAGAAAGAATTTATCACTCCTCTACTTGAATTTGTGGGCAAAGTTTTATATTTAGACACAACCTCCATTAAGAGAACTAGAGCTAGTATGGCCAATGTAAAGGTCCAGGTTGATCTCACCAAGGATAGACCTCGACATGTCTGGATAGGTCTGGATGATGAAGACCTCACTATTGGGAGATGGCAGTCTATAGAATATGAAAACATCCCTCCTTACTGCATATATTGCATAAACTAGGGGCACATGATAAGTGACTGTAATTTCGAAATAAGGGATGAGGATTTCAAATGCAGGAAGGAGCTTGGAGCTGAAATGAAAAATATTAATAAAAGAGAACCAGGACAACAAGGCAATGAGGACAGGCAACTCAAGGCAAATGAACAGGAGAAACAGCAACACCGAAGCACTAAGGAAAGAAGCATTCAACAGTAATCTGAGGAACAAAATGAAGAAGAATGGAAAGTGTCGAAAAAAAGAAACAATAAACCACAGGAGGAAAGAGTACAAAGGACAATATGGAGACCAACCTCACCACAAAACAAATTGTCAAAGGAGCAATCACAAATCACAACACAACCTACAGGTACAATCAATATTTCTAACCATAATTCCTTTACTAATCTCAACATGCAGGAAACACACCGTGAGGATATCCAGGAGCATAACAGTCATGAAAGGACAACACCACAAAGAGCTCAAAGTAGGTCTAAAACAGACCATAACAAAAAAAACACAGGTCAACCAAACAGGAAATAAAGAGAATAACAAAAGCACAGGTATTGACTCAATGCTCCCAATCCCCATAGACCCCAATATTCCATATTTTGATGACACTATTGAAGTTGAAGGAGGGACGGATGGGGGATGTCAGGAGAAACAAACTAACATGCAGGAAGGAGTGTCCAACGAGGGGAATTTGACTCATGTTATGCATGAGGGTACACACTGGGACCATAGTACTAGACCTAGAACCCCTGCTACCACTACAAGCCAACATCAAAGACCTGAATAGCAACAACTGCAGCATCAAAAACAACCTGAGACAGGAAATAACAGAGAAAAACAATAAGAGGAGGTAAGAACTGCAAGCAAACAGAATAAAGGTTCTATGGAAAAAGATATGGGAGCCAATGCTAGTACTAGCAATCAAGGGGAAACACCCAAAATTAAGAACAAACCTAGCAAAAAAAAAGAGAGGCTCCAAAAAAGAAACAGAATCTACAGCCAGATAATGTCCAACAAAGGGAACAACAAAACAATGGGGAGAGCTGCAAGAAGTTCATTATGGTTGATGAGCACCTAGGCATGGATATAACTCCTTTACAGGCCCAATATATGACGTCTCCTACTAATGTCCCCCCTGATAAAAGAGTTGAAAAGTGTCAAATGAATAAAGGGCCTATAATAGATGAATATACTGTGGACAATTCTAAGGATGAACTTAATGTGGACAATCAGTCCCTCAAGGACCCTAATGAGGATGATGAGACTAGTAAGTTACTGATCAGAGCTTTTAGCCCCCATCCTGATCAGGGCCTGGAGAATGAAATTCAACAGGTAGCCAGTTAACAGGGCCTATCCCCCAGAGGTATTCACCATGATAGATTCCAATTCAAAGCTCAGGACATCAACACTGTCACTGCTGGCAGACCAAACACTAGGCTCTTTACTACCAGATCATCTCAATGATTAATACACTCATCTGGAATGTAAGGGGGATCAACACCCATGGAGCTCTTGAAAGACTCAAAATGCTCAAGAAAATGCACCAACTCTCCATCATTGTTATTCTTGAACCCTTTTCAGACACCAATCATGTTCAAAACTTCAAGCACCAACTAGCTATGGAACAGGCAGTGAGTAATTGCAATGGAAAAATTTGGCTCTTTTGGACTGCAGACATTGATTGTGTTGTAATAGAGGAGGATGAACAGTAAATTACTTGTGATATTTGACACAATTCACTTCCCAACCAATTCACCATCACTTTTATATATGCTAAGTGCAAGGACCACCTCAGAAGGCCTCTGTGGGATAGAATGCTTAACATTGCTGCTGATAATAACAAACCCTGGTGCTCTGTAGGTGATTACTATGTTATTACTAATATTGAGGAAAAGCTGGGAGGAGTACCTTATAATATGAGAAAAATCCTGGAATTCATAACTATGATTGAAGCTTGTGGACTCCTGGATCTAGGCTTCAGTGGTCAGAAATACACTTTGTCCAACAACAAAAGTATCAACCACAGAGTATGGAAAAGACTGGACATGGCTCTAGTTAATGATAATTGGCTGGAAAAAATGCCTCAAACTACCATCACTCACCTACCTTCTGTAGGGTCTGATCACTGCCCTCTGCTTTTTGAAATGGTTGCTAGGGAGGAAGAGCATATTAAATACTTCAAATTTCTTAGCTGCTGGGCTAACCATCCTAACTTTCTTGACATGGTTAAGTCTTGCTGGGAAAGGGATGTAGAGGGCAGTAACATGTGGAGATTCCACCAGAAATTGAAGAGATTATCCAACACCCTCAGCACCTGGTCCAGAGGGGAATTTGATGATATCTTCATGAAAGTCAGGGAATATGCAGAGAGGGTCAGAAATGCTGAAGAGAGACTTATCCAAGAGCACACTGACAGCAACAGGGCTAATCTTCATGAACTAAATGCAGAATATATTAAGTTCTTGAAACTAGAAGACTCTATTTTAAAGCAAAAAACTCAGTTACAATGGTTCAGAGAAGGAGACTACAATACTAAATACTTCCACTCTCTGATAAAGGGAAGAAGAAGAAGGTTATTTATCCACAAGCTACTCAGGGAAGATGGGGAATGGATACAGGGAGAAGAAGATATTGCTAAGGCTGCCTGTGACCATTTTCAGAGCATTTTTACAGGGGAAAACAAGCGCATCAATGAGGGTACTATGGATTGCATCCCCAGGATGATTAACCAGGAACAAAATAATAACCGTACTGCTATGCCTACTATAGAAGAGTTGAAAGAGGTAGTATTCTCTATGAATCCTAATTCTACTGCTGGGCCGGATGGGATGAATGGATACTTCTTTTAGAAATGCTGGCAAATCATCAAACATGATCTCTTTGCAGTCATTCAAGCTTTTTTCTGTGGTCAGACAATACCTAAGTCTTTTTCTCACTCTTGCATTGTTCTGCTTCGTAAAGTGTGTAATCCCAACAAGTTCACTGAGTTCAGGCCCATCAGTTTAAGCAATTTTACTAGCAAGATCATTTCTAAACTGGTGAGCTCCAGACTTGGTCCTATTCTACCTGAGTTAGTTTCCCTCAATCAATCTGGTTTTGTCAAAGGAAGGAGTATATCTGAGAACATTATGCTGGCACAAGAGATTATTCATCAGATTAAGAAACCTAATATTGGGAGCAATGTGGTTATCAAACTGGACATGGCTAAGGCATATGATACGGTCTCTTGGTCCTACATATGCTTGGTGTTGAGAAGAATGGGGTTTGATGAGGTCTTTATTGATATGATCTGGAGGATCATGGATAACAATGGTACTCTATTATTATCAATGGCAAAAGACATGGGTTCTTTGATTCCACTAGGGGTCTCAAACAAGGTGATCCATTATCTCCGGCCGTATTTATTTTAGCTGCAGAGGTCCTTTCTAGATCCTTGAACAGACTTCACAATAACCCAGAGTACCATGGTTTCTTCATGGAATCCAGGGGTCCTCAAGTGAATCACTTAAGTTTTGCTGATGATGTTATTCTTTTCACTTCTGGAAGACAAAAAACCCTGAAAAAACTTCAGGCTAGCTTGTTAACACTGATAAAAGTCACTTCATGGTCCATTATAATGCTTTCAACAGCACCAAGGAAAGGATCAAAAGAATCACTGGCTTCAGGCAGAAGGAGGGTCCTCTCACCTATCTTGGCTGCCCTTTATTTGTTGGTAGACCTAGAATCATATATTTTTCTGACCTTATTAACAAAGTGTTGTGCAGAATCACAGGTTGGCAAACAAAATTGTTGAGTTATAGGGGCAGAGCAATCCTCGTCAATCATGTCTTGCAATCTCTACCTATTCATCTCCTATTAGCTGTGACCCCTCCTGTAACTTCTCCTAAAGAAGGTCCAAAGCATCATGGAAAACTTTTTCTGGGGATGGAGGAATGAGAAGAAAAAGTACCACTGGGCCTCCTGGAAGAAGCTTAGCTTTCCTTATGATGAGGGAGGAGTTGGCATAAGGAATCTCAAGGATGTGTGCATGGCCTTCCAATATAAACAATGGTGGATATTTAGATCCAAACAAACTCTTTGGGGGGATTTTTTAAAAGCAAAATACTGTCAAAGATCAAACCCTATCAGCAAGAAATGGGACACAGGAGAATCACTGACCTGGAAACACTTGATGCACAACAAACAGAAAGTCAAGGAACATATTAAATGGAAACTCAATTTAGGCAATTGCTCATTTTGGTGGGACAATTGGTTAGGTGTTGGACATCTTGCTCAATTCTCCTCGGACAGTAATAGATTCAACAATACAACTGTGGCAGAATTTTGGGTAGGGGACCAATGGAACTTGAACATGCTTATTCAGCAAGCTCCATATAGCCAGCTAGCCATCATCATAGCCACAGAGCTCTACATCCAGATGGACCTCCCAGACCAAGTTATTTGGAAGCTGAGCAATAATGGAAAGTTCATCTGTTCATCATCATGGAATGAGATAAGGGAGAAGAAGACCAAGACTCATTTTAACAATTTCACTTGGCACAAGAGTATCCCTTTTAAAGCTTCCTTTTTGTTATGGAGAACCATACGTGGTAAACTCCCTCCTAATGAAAAACTAACCAGTTTTGGCAATGAGCCAGCAAATTATTTTTGTTGTTGTAACAGGTCAGGCCAGGACACCATAGAACACACCTTCAACAATGGACCTTTTGCTTCAGACGTGTGGAGAAGCTTTGTTGCAGCTGCTGGAATCAACACTGATCACAGATCCCAGCCACAACTAATCATGCAATGGTGGTCGACCAAATACAACAATGAAGCACATAGGCTGCTACTACAAGCTACTCCAATACTCATTTGCTGGAATCTATGGAAGAATAGATGTGCTAGCAAATAGGGAGGGAAGCAGTCCAACATGAGCAGAGTCAAATATGCCATCTACAAGGACAACTACAAACTCATGACTACAACATTCCCTCAAATCAAATGGCCTTCAAACTGGAAGGAACTGATCTCCAAAGGGGAAAAATGCATCCACGATACCAAAGTGACTACGGTTAAATGGATAAAGCCACCAGACCATTGGGTAAAAATTAACTCTGATGGTAGTGCATTAAACAATCCAGGCAGATTAGGAGCAGGAGGCATAATCAGGGATTAAGATGGAGAAATGCTTTTAGCTTTTGCCACTCCCTTAGGGGAAGGAACCAACAACAAAGCAGAGCTAGAAGCAACTATTTTTGGGATGACCTTGTCCCTTGAACTAGGTTACAGTAGAATCATTTTGGAGGTGGATTCTCAGCTTGTGGTTGACTGGATAATGCACAAAGCCGAACCTCACTGGAGCATCAACACACAGATGCTGAAGTTACAGGCACTCATCAGGAAGACTCATAAATTTAAATGTAATCACACACTCAGAGAAGCTAACTTTGTGGTTGTTTCCCTTTCAAAACACAGTCACAAGATCACTAGTCCACAAATCTACTTCAACAATCATCAAATACCAAAAGAAGCAATACCATATTATCCACTAGACATGCTTGAGATGGCAAGTTTCAAAAGAAGGAAGATTAGAAAGATCAAGGAGACCCCCTAAAGTTATTGCAACCAGTTCAACTTAGCTGTAATTAAATCTACAGCTTCTTCGAATAGGTATAGATTTTCATTTTATACTGTAAAGGGAGAGTTTCCCTTGTTTATGTTTTCTAGAGTCTATGTATTGAGAGGAGTCCTCTCTTTAGGTTCTTAGTCTCTTGGATTACCTTTTTGTAAGGGGATGAGTTGACTATCCTTCTGGGAAAGTTGACTACTGAACTACCATAGGTTCGGAGGTTAGGTTTATGCCCCCATCCTTGTATTTTTTCTTTGTTAAATGGTAAGGCCTGCGGGTGTTGCTCAACTCCTACCCATCTAAGGGTATTAAAATAAAATTAAGAAAAAACCCTAACCCCTAAACCCTAACCTCTAATCCCTAACCTCTAAACTCTAAACACTAAACTTTAACCCTAAACCATAAACTCTAAATCATAAACCCTAAACTCTAAACCCTAGCCTTAAACCATTAATCTTAAACCATGAACCCAAACCGTAAACCCTAAAACCTAAAATCAAAACCCTACACCCTAAACCCTAAAAAACCCAAAGCCCTAAACCCTAGCCTTAAACCATTAATCTTAAACCATAAACCCAAACCGTAAACCCTAAAACCTAAAATCAAAACCCTACGCCCTAAGCCCTAAACTCTAAACCTTAAACCCAAAACCCTAAACCCAAAACCCTAAACCCTAGAACTAAACCCTAAACCCTAGAACTAAACCCTAAACCCTAACCCCTAACCCCTAACCCCTAAACCCAAAACCCTAAACCCAAAACCATAAACCGTAAACCCTAAAACCTAAAATCAAAACCCTACACCCTAAACCCTAAACCATAAACCCTAATCTCTAAACTCTAAACCTTAAACCCAAAACCCTAAACCCAAAACCATAAACCATAAACCCTAAATCTTTTACCATAAAACCTAAACCCTAACACTAAACCCGAAATCCTAAATCCTAAATCCTAAACCCTAAACCCTAACCCTAATCAATAAACCCTAACCCTGAACTCGAAACCCTAAAGACTAAACTGTAAGCCCTAAAACCTAAACAATAAAGCATAAACACTAAACCCTAAACCCTAGAACTAAACCCTAAACCCTAAACCCTAAACCCTTAATCCTTAACCCTTAACACCAAACCCTAAATACTAAACCCTAAACCCTAAACCCTTAACCCAAAACCCTAAACCCTAAACCCTAACCCCTAACCCCTAACCTCTAAACCATAAAAACTAAACTTTAACCCTAAACCATAAACCCTAAACTCTAAATCATAAACGCTAAACTCTAAACCCTAGCCTTAAACCATTAATCCTAAACCATAAAACCAAACCGTAAACCCCAAAACCTAAACTCAAAACCCTACACCCTAAACCCTAAACCATTAACCCTAATCTCTAAAGTCTAAACCCTCTACCTTACAAGAGTCACTTTATGATTCCTGATACAACTCCTCTTAATATCATCAGTGACATCAAAGAGGTCACAAGTTTTTCTCAAAAAGCAAGTCCTATTACATATTTAGATTGTCCTCTATATGTTGGTAGACAGAGGATCATCTACTATTCTCACTTGGTTGAGAAAGTGTCCAAAAAGATTTGTGGTTGGCAAACTAGGATACTTAGTTTTGGGGGCAGAATCACTTTGATCAAACATGCTTTACAGTCCATCCCTATTCATACAATGGCTGCTATATCACCTCCAAATACTACTATCAAGTACATTGAGTCTATCATTGCACATTTCTTTTGGGGGAGAGATCAGGATAAATGGAAGTATCATTGGGCTTCTATTGAAACCATGAGTTTACCTTATGCTGAAGGAGGAGTGGGTCTTAGGAAACTCACTGATATATGTACTTCTCTCCAGTTTAAGCAATGGTGGGTCTTTAGATCTAAATCTTCTTGATGGAGTCAGTTCATTAAATCAAAATATTGTCAAAGGGCCAATCTAGTTGCAAAGAAGGTGGATACTGGGGACTCTTTGGTGTGGAGATACATGATGAAGAATAAAGACAAAGTGGAAGAACATGTCACCTGGAAGCTCAGTTCTGGTAGCTGTTCTTTTTGGTGGGATGTTTGGTTGGGGGGGTGCTCTAGCTATAGCATACCAGTGACATCTCAAGTCTCAACAATACTATTATTGCTCAATTTTGGGTTGATGGTAAATGGAATGAGAGGAAATAGAGGCAGCAGGTTCCACCTTTGATTACTCCTCATATTTTGAACACTTATTTTCAATATCAACAAGGAGTTCCTGATACAACTATTTGGAGGCCAACTGAAACTGGAAAGTTCACCTATGCATCAGCTTGGGAATTCTACAGCCATAGGAATGATATTGTTGGGATCAATGCTCAGATTTGACATAAGCATATTCCTTTTAAAATGTCTTTTCTACTATGGAGGGCCTTGAGGAAGAAATTGCCAACCAATGAGAAATTAGGGAATTTTGGAGTGGAGCCTGTGAGATGTTTTTGTTGTTATCAGCAAGGATGGGATAAAGTTGATCATATCTTCATTCAAGGCCATTTTGCAACTGATATCTGGAAATATTTTTCAAATATTTTGGGTATTGTTGTACAACAAAATTCCCTAAGTAATTACTTATTAAATTGGTGTGGCAATCTTGGTAAAAATAAAGCTCACAAGACCATTATTCAGACTATTCGTATTATTATATGCTAGAACTTATGGAAAAATAGATGTTCAGCCAAGTATCGAGGCAAGATATCTAGCATCAGCAAAGTTAAATACTCGATCATTAAAGACATGTTTCAACTTCTCAGATCTGTATTTCCTTATATTCAGTGGCCAATAAAGTGGCCAGAAGTTGTTGACATGTTAGAACAGGGTAAACATGAGATTAGAGTCATTTTTGTGATCTGGAAAACTCCTCTTAATTCTAGATATAAACTTAATACTGATGGTAGTGCTTTGCACAATTCGGGGAAGATTGGAGGAGGGGGGGGGGGTATTCTGAGGGATTCTAATGAGGATATTATTTATGCATTTGCTATACCTTTGGGTGAAGGGACCAACAATCAGGCAGAACTGCAGGCTGCCAGTTATGGGCTCAACTGGTGCATCCAACATGGGTATAACAACATTATTTTAGAAGTGGATTCTGAATTGCTAACTAAATGGTTTTTTCAGATGTCTGAGCTTCCTTGGAGGATTTGCAGGTTTGTGCAGGAGCTACAGGGTTTAGCTAATCAATGTGAATATTTCCAATGTATTCATACTTACAAGAGGCCAATAGTACAGCAGATTTGTTGTCTAAACAAAGTCATAAGAAAGATATCATCCAACATTATTACACTCCTAACTATTTACCAAAAGCAGCTAGAGGAAGTTATTTCCTGGAGAAAATGGGGCTGGAAAGTTTCAGACGGAAAAAACTGAGAAGGATTAAAATTCCTCCTTGAAATTCTATTTTTTTTACATATCAACACACCTCCCTGTATTTCTGTTTCTTTCATCCTAACTATGTTTTGCTTAGTTTGGTTGTTTGATTAGGAACAGGAGCTCCAGGTTGATGTCAATCAATGTGTATTCCTCCTGAGGCTTACTGTAACAACCCGGGAGCACTCCCTAGTCGTTATCGGCGTATTCAACCTCTCGGAGATCTTATACAAGCCCTTAGCATTCGTCATAGCATTTATCATAGAAAAATAGCGGAAAATTTAAAACTTTTTCATAATATAACATAAGACTTAAAAGTCACCTCATTTAAACCTTTAATACACAATTGGAGTACTACGTCTCAAGGTAGCCATCTTAAAACATTACTACAACACAAGAGGGACACAGCCCTTACAATACAAAAGAAACTACTATCAACTTAAGGAAACTCTTTAACATGAAGGTCCTTGAATCTTTAAGGACACACCCGAACTTGGGAATAGTAAGCCAAGCTCATCACTTCTAGGAAAGACCCTTTAGTCCCCATCACCTACACTTGGTGTAAAGAGATGAAGAAGAATGGTGTTAGTACAAGAATACACTAAGTATGATAACCATGCAAAACATACTCTAAAAAGGACATTTAGTTGGAAATCATGCATCAAGGGATTGAGTGCACTTCCCTTCAAGGGATTACCACACATTCATAATGTCCCCAAATCATGAGTAATTCACATATAAAGCCCTTAGGGATTCTAGACCACACACCCACACTTCATCATAGGAGACAAGGACACATTCAACATTGAATAGGTAGTCCAAACATGTATATGATCAAACATTCATATAGGGGTTATATAGGTAGGG